TTTTTTTTTTTTTTTTTTTTACTGCATTTCTGTGAAATGTCCCTCCCCCTGCCCCCCTCATAGGCATATCCCTGGAGGCATATCCCTTACAGAAAGCAGATTAGTGACTGCCTGGGGCTAGGGCTGGAGGACAGGGAGGGGGCACTGGGAAAGGGAGGTGACTATTAATGGGTATGGGTTTAAAGTCCTACAATTGGCTCCTCTCTGAGGGGGCGTGGCTAGGCCCTGGAGGGCGTGGCTGGACTTTAGGGCAGACCTAGCCAGCTTAAAAGCCTGCGGAGGGGCAGCAGCCCACTCTGTGGTGGCTGTTCAGCGTGGAGGCATGGAGGAGTGCGCTTGCCTCTGCGGCTTGGGCTCTTCGCGGGGATGTCGGTGTCGTCAGGAGCCCCAGGGCCCAGCGGAGACGGCAGCGGCCGAGGGCAAGCCGGACCCGGCAGAAAAGCACCTCGAGGTGGACGCCGCATGGTGCTGTGCGGGGAGTGGAGGAATCGCGAGCCCCAGGCCGCCCCCACACTGCTCGCTGCAGGACCTGCCGGTGGAGATGCTGGTAGAGATCTTCGCCTCGCTCCCCGGCACCGACCTGCCCAGCCTGGCCCAGGCCTGCACCAAATTCCACCACATCCTGCACACCGACAGCATCTGGAGACGGCGCTGCCGGGAGGAGTTTGGCGTTTGTGAAAACTTGCAGAATCTGGAGACCCTAGGTACGTCTTACCGAGAAGTCTATGCGAAGCTGCTCCACCCATACAGACACATTTTGGGATTGTGGCAGCGAGATACTGAGGGCTATAAAACACTGCTGTATGTAGCGGTGGACGGCTTATGCATTACTGGTTGGACGTACAGGCCTTGTCTTCACACCCATGTGGACGGCCCAATGCAATTCAAGCCCGCGTTCAGAATTCGCCTGACGGAGCAGAAATCAGCCACGGTGGAGTGCATGGAAGGCCGCCACCGCAGGCCCCACAACCGCCACATGCAGATTCGGAAGAACAGGTTCCGCACCCGGTGCAACAAGACAGACCACCTTAAGGATTTACCAACGCAGCTTAGGGAGGAATGGGGGACGGTGCTGATGTGGAATGAAAGACCGAGGTATGACTGCCTGACCTACTGCCGCCTCTACCTCCCGCCCAGCCACCCGGAAGACCTCATCAGGCCAGGCCTCTTCCAATGCAGATACAATCGCTCTGGCCTAATGATTGCCATGCTCAGCTTCCACGGGAAGTATGCCAGGGTCACGGAGATCACGGGAATCTTATTCCAGACGTTAGAGATCCACCTCATGCGCCGCATCGAGATGCGAGGTGGCGAGATCTTCTGGGACGACAATGAGCTCTTCTTCGTGGTCAAGGAGATTGGCGAGCAGGTGCGCCAGGAGCAGCAGCAGCAGCAGCAGCGAGAAGACGGGACTGAGGAAAGCGAGGGCCATGGCTGGCAGAGCCCTGCCCAGCCCAGCGTCGGGGAGTCCGGGGCTGCAGCTTTGGAGGAGCAGCCTGCCCCGTTTCTTCTGCCTGAGGGCTTCCGCTCAATGGACCAGAACTACCCCCAAACATGCAGGATGTGTTTCTATGGCGTGGCCACTGCTACCTTACGTGGCTCAGTCCACTACAGGACTGGAGTCGTCACCCTGTTCGATGAGAACCACTTCGGGTTCATGTGTCCACGGGACAGAGGCTTCGCCCTGTTCGGCAGAGTCCAGAACACCTTCCAGAATGTGGAGGCACCATCCCCGCAGGCCTTCCTGGAGATGCTCGAGAACATTCAGTCCTGACCCCTTAAGAGGAGGAGCTGGCATGCGCTTTGAAGATTTGACCTTCTGACCAGGTTACCCACCTTTGTTTGTTGGTTTTTTAATCCTCACCCGAGGATATTTGATGTTTAGAGAGAGTGGAGGAGAGAGGGAAAGACAGAAAGAATCGATGCGAGAGAAACACATCAGTTGGTTGCCTCCTTCCCAAGCCCGGAACAGGGCCAGGCCGGGTAGGGGCCAGCAATTGAGGTCGAAATAAACCTTAGACCAGTGGTCTCAACCTTCCTAATGCTGCGACCCTTTAATGCAGTTCCTCGTGTTGTTACAAATTGAACGTAATGAAAGCATAGTGATTAATCACAAAAAAAAATAAATAAATAAAGACATCTTAGTTAATATATATTGTGTTTATTTATTAACATTGAACTCGTGGCCAATAGCAATGGGGCTCATTCCTTATGAAAGCTTCTCTAACCAATACATTATCTCCACAAAGCATAGCTAGTGCTTTGGCACTAAGGCGGTGGGCTATTTTAAACAGCAGGGGCGTCTTCAGAGACAAATGAGGACTGTTCTCATTCCTCACGGGGAGCTGAAGAAAAGAAGGAACATGGGGGAAAGGCAGAAAGCAGCAGCTCCTCAGACTCCAGCAGTAGCGATGAAGACGCCAGCAGCTCCAGCTCATCCTCCTCGGGGGACACCTCTGACTCAGACTCCAACTGAGCTTTGTTCATTCCTAGGTGGCAGGACAGAGAACTTCCCAACAGAAGTCTTTGGCATCTATGTACACTGCAGGGCTCTTCTCCCTATCCCTGTTTATTGCTTTACTTCTTCCTTCCTT